CCCCAAAACCCCAAAACCCCAAAACCCCAAAACCCCAAAACCCCAAAACCCCAAAACCCCATAAAGGCCTAAGAAACTGAAGTGTATTAATAATTTACTTAATGATAAATAAGACATTTTTCTGGGTAACTCTGCTCATTCTTAGGTAAGCCAAAGTCGGTGCTTCCATTCTCACCCTAAATTTAGCTTAGCTCAAGTCGCAGAAGCCTACAACGTCGCTAATGGGATATCTTTCACAGCATCTGTTGATGATGCGAAGGAGAACTTGATCTTCCATATTACTCTGAAGTATAAAAATTATCTTGGAATCGGATTCGGAGAAGGTATGAAAGGATGTCCGATGCTGATAGTGACTGATAATCCTGGAGATGGAGAGACAGTTCCAATTATTTTAGACACTTACTCTGTAGCTAAAACGATTCCCACTGAAAATGATGAGAACATCTATATACTAACCAAATCGGTAGCTACAGAACATGGCTGGGAGCTAGATATCCAGAGACCTATTGTATTTGAAAGAGAGGGAAGAGTAGAGACTATATTTGATAAGCAAAATACAGTTATGAACTTTGCTTATCACGAAGGGGATGGATATCCTGAAGAGCATACTCGTCATGAATATGGATTCTTCTCAATGAAGATGGATGTAAACAAGCAAAGTGTGTCGATCGGAACAAGACATAGGCCAAAAGATGTCTTCTACAAAACCCACGGAATCCTCTTTTATATTGCCTGGAGTATTATGACATTTGCATTAATTGCTTCTGGAAGATATATGAAACATTTATACAATTTCAGGATGATTCTTCATGTCGGACTCGGATTGTTAATCACCGCTAACACTATCATCCTTGTCCTTTTCTCATGGATAAAATTCGATTCAAGCAAGGATCTTCTGGCTCATAAGCCTATCGGAATTGCTGTGATGTTTATTTCTTTTGCCCAATGTTTGGGAGGTTTCGCCGTAAAAACCTCGATGACAACTCTAAATTGGAGATCAAAACTTACGTTGAACTCCAAATTAGGACATCAGCTTTTCGGCTACGCTTTAATTATCCTCTCCAACTTCCAGGTGGTTTCAGGGCTCTACAGATACAAATCTCCTATTACAAAGTTGATCTACATCCATTTAGCTGTGTTTGTTGTCATGCTTTTTGCTCTTGAAATTTTTTATCGGATGAGATTTAGATATACAAAGAAAGGAGTCTTGAACAAAAGAGTTCAAAACTATTCGTACAATGAGTATAGGAAGATGCTCAGCTCTGGAAGAAAACTCGCCCTTTTTAATGACTATATCCTTGATATCAGCTCTTTTATAAACGAACATCCAGGGGGTGCATTTGTCATGAGAGCAACTGTCGGGAGTAATATGGGTAAATATTTTTACGGAGGATCTTCGATGGAGACAGATGTCCCACCTTACAAGCACTCAAGTTATGCAGGCAGAATCCTTGAGAAATTAACTATTGGCAAGCTTGAGAACAAGTACCTTAGTGAAGATAACTCTAATCGTAGCAGGAGAGATTTTTCGATCAGAAGCGGCAATCCATCAGTTAAAGGTAAATTAATTTCATGTTCGCCTACTCTGACTACAACGTATTAACTTTGAATATAGTGGAGATGTTGAGAGATGGATGTAACATATTCACCATTAAGAAAAAGGTCTGGCTCACTAGCACAGTGTCAAGGATCTCCTTCCATTGTATAGATACCTCTATCCCATCGATTTACGAAGGACTCGAGATGTGTGGGAAGAATTACTCTATTACTTCCATGAAGAACGATGTGACAAGGTACTACACAATTTGCAATTCAATGGGTTCCCAGATCTTCGAAGAATACATGAAATCTTTCGGCGCAGCTATTGAAGAGACAGAATATCAAAGGAGATTTGAAGGAATAGGTAAGTTCAGGCCTTGAAAGTTCATAGCTGATTTTGACAAGGAAGAAAAGGATATTTTAGAGTTAGTGATAAAACATTACCCAAAGTCAGATAGTGGTATTTCCAAACAGGTTTTTAATGCATCTCATCATGAAGAATTTTACATTGAAGGTCCAATCAGTGTTGACTTCGGATATACTGAGGAGAATCTTGAAGGAGCTAATATTATCTTCTGTGGAGGTACTGGAATTCTTCCTTTCATGGACTTGTTTGCATATCTTGGCAGAAGACTTGTAGCTACTAGTTGTCCAGACTACTCCATTTTCTCAGATGAGGTGATTTCTACAAAAGAATCTAAGGCAAAATTTCTCATTCATGCTTACTTTCAGACTAGGGAAGACTGTATCGGAATTGAATTAGTTGAGAGAATTGAAAAACTTTATCAAAAATACAACAAAGGTGCTCTCTTTAAGCTAAATCTTATCTTGACTAACAGGGGAGGTGAGAAACTCTCAGATGACGATATTGTTGAGCTAATGGAAGATTACTCAGTGGCAAATGGAGGACTTAATAAATTACTGGTCTGTGGGCCTCCACCAATGGATATGCAATTTCACAAACTAAAAGGACGTATTATGAAAAAGACGAATCTTGACCTTAGCCAAATTGACATATTGTAATTTTAATTGGTGGTTGCAAAATATTGAAAAATTCAATTTTCTTGGTTAAAGCTGGGGTTTTGGGGTTTTGGGGTTTTGGGGTTTTGGGG